CATATTGTGTATTGATGCCAAGTTTGGTCCAGATACATCATTGATTGAATCTAAAGTGCTCTCTGGATGTAGGTGAACTACACCTCCAAAACTGGTCAATGCCCACCAAAATCTTTCAGTACTTTCTGTTGATCATGGGAGTTCTGTGTGTGCCAAGTTTGGTTCAATTCCATCCTTGGTGGAGTTCAGAATGCTCTTTGATTGTAGGTGAACTATAAATCCAAGGAACTACAATTCCCAAATGACAAAATTAATCCCCCTTTCCAACACGACCAGTATTCCAATTTGGGCGTATCAGGTAGTTGTGCCCAATTTGGTCCAGTGAATGAAAATACATCCTGCATATCAGAAATTTATATTATTATTCATAACAGCAGCAAAATTACAGTTGTAAAGTAATAATTGTATGATTGTGGGGTCACCACAGCATGAGGAACTGTATTAAGGGGTCATGGCATTAAGAAGGTTGAGTAACATTGAACTAGAAGGAAGTTCAAAAGCAAATCCTAGTGCTACCTCATAGTGGAGCTCCTATCTCCAGGGTCTAGAACAGGCCTGGGCAAACTTGGGCCTTCCCGCCAGGTGTTTTGGACTTCAACTCCCAGCATTCCTAACAGCCTCAGCCGCTTAAGCGGCTGAGGGGGAAAAGGAAGGGGCCTGAGGCTGTTAGGAATAGTGGGAGTTGAAGTCCAAAACACCCGGAGGTCTGAAGTTTGCCCAGGCCTGGTCTGCACTCAATCTAAAATGCCTTTCGATTGCATTATATGGCAAATTAAACCCAGCCAAAGCCACATCTGGAAGCCCTGAATCCCACGGTCTTTGGTTGTGAGTTTAGAGTGGGTTCCCCAAATGATCTCAATGATTTCCCAAATGATCTGGATTCGCCTGTGCCTCTCCCTCCCAGGTCAAATTCTCTTCTCTGTGTTCTTAGATTTCTGTCTCAAAATATTTCGGAACCTCGCCTCCTCCCCTTGACCTGTCTCGTCAAAGGAACCAGAAAGGATCCCCCGGCAGATTGCGTGTGTGTGTGTGTGGGGGGGGGGGGAGGTGGTCCTCCCGTGCTTCCCGCCCTGCGTCACGCGTCGCTTCGCTGCGCCGGGCTTTTGGCCAAGTCCTTGGGGAAAGAAGGAAGGAAGGAAGGAAGAAAAGAAGGAGTTCCTCGGGGCTCCAAAGCGGAGCCACGCACATCGCTCAGCACGCACGCCAGCCCCTCTCTGGGGACAGGAGGAAGTGGGGAAGGAGGAAGAACTGCGCGTAGCCCCCACGCCAGCCCCTCTCTGGGGACAGGAGGAAGTGGGGAAGGAGGAAGAACTGCGCGTAGCCCCCACTCCTCGCTCTGGCCTTGGCCTCCCTTTGCTCGGCAGGGGGCGCCCGTCCCCGTGGAAGAGCCACCCACCCAAGCAAGCGGCCACGGGGGTCGCGGAGGCAGGAAAGCAGCCCCTACTCCGCCGGGGGTCCAAAGGGAAGGCAGCGCGCCTTCTCTGCGCTCCGCACGCACTCCCCCCTCCTTCCATGGGCGCCCCCACGAGCGAAATGCCCCCCCCCCATACACACACTCCACAGCCCTTTTGCCTATCCCCTTCTCCACTTCAAAAGCTTCAAGGACCGGCCAGGGGGCGGAGGAAGGAGTCTTGGGAATCCCCGAAGCGGCAAAGAAAGTGCGCATGGGACGGGCGGAGAGGAGTCCGGAAAGAAAGAACGAAGGAAGGAAGGAAGGAAGGAAGGAAGGAAGGAAGGAAGGAAGGAAGGAAGGAAGGAAGGAAGGAAGGAAGGGTGGGAAAAGAAAGCGAGCTTTTTTGTTGTTGGGTTTTTTTTTCGTGTCAAAAGCGACTTGAAAAATTGCAAGTCGCTTCTGGTGTGGGAGAATTGGCAGTCTGCAAGGAGGCGGGGTGTTTTCTTACTACTTTTCTCATGTCCCGGCATGAGAAGCTGGAGTTGACAGAGGGGAGCTCACCCCACTGCCCAGATTCCAACCGCCGACTTTTCGATCAGCAGTCCTAGAATCATAGGATCATAGAGTTGGAAGAGACCTCATGGGCCATCCAGTCCAACCCCCTGCCAAGAACCAGGAAAATCGCATTCAAAGCACCCCCGACAGATGCTTTCTTGTAGTTTGAAGCCATTGTTCTGCGTCCTAGTCTCCAGGGCAGCAGAAAACAAGTTCGCTCCCTCCTCCCTATGACTTCTTCTCACATATTTATACATGGCTATCATGTCTCCTCTCAGCCTTCTCTTCTTCAGGCTAAACATGCCCAGCTCTTTAAGCCACTCCTCATAGGGCTTGTTCTCCAGACCCTTGATCATTTTAGCTGCCCTCCTCTGGACACTTTCCAGCTTGTCAATATCTCTCTTCAATTGTGGTGCCCAGAATTGGACACAGTATTCCAGGTGTGGTCTGACCAAGGCAGAAAAGAGGGGGAGCATGACTTCCCTGGTTCTACACACTAGACTCCTATTGATGCAGGCCAAAATCCTGCCGGCACAAGGGTGGAGCCCAGTGGTTCTCAACCTGTGGGTTTCCAGATGTTTTGGCCTTCAACTCCCAGAACTCCTAAAAGCTGGCAAACTGGCTGGGATTTCTGGGAGTTGTAGGCCAAAACACCTGGAGACCCACAGGTTGGGAACCACCATTGCGCCACGGGGGGGGGGGTCCTTGTTGTTAGTGCGGAGGCGCGAAGGGAAGGAGCCCGAAGGCACACTTGGGCGAGCCGAACAGGTGCCTGGGGCGGGAGCCAAGCGGGCAGGGAGCAACCTTCTTCCAGGCGCAGGCTCAAGTCTGCAGGGAGGGAAGCTCCACCTGCGAGGAAACCCTCCACGCTGCGCTCCCACCCGCGTCCAGGGTCTGTCGGTTGGCGGAGGAGAGCGGCTTCTCCCCTCCCGTCCGCCATCCTCCTCCGCCCCGCTTCCCAGGCACAACAGGTCCCCTTCCCGGGTGGGTCTCCGAGAGGCACAGCCCTGCTCCCGACGGGTCTTTTCCCCTTGCCGGCGGGGAGCCTGCCCTTACCTTGCCGTCCCCACAAAGCCAGCCTGGGGTCCCCTCCGGAGAGTCACATCCTCTCCGCGCCGTCCGCTCCCTCCAGCCGCAGCCTCCTGCAGCTCCCGCAACCCAGGACGAGGCCGGCGGCTCAAATGTCTCATCAAAGCTTCATGAGGGAAGGGAGGGGAGGGGAGGGGAGGGGGAAGGAGGAGTGGGGCTGGGAGCCTCTGTACTCGCCCGCCCGCCCACGGCCCCCTCCCTCAGCCTCGGCACGAGTGGGACCCCCTCCACCAGCCTCCCTTTCTTCCTCCTCCTCCGGAGGAAACGACTGCGCTCCCCCAAAGCCCGGCCAAGGGGAGCAATGGGAGCTCAACTGGACTGCCGAGTCCCCGAGAGGCTTCTCGCCTCCTCCAACCTCCCCAAACTTTATCGGAGAAAGGGAGGGAGGGAGGGAGGGGATCTCTGCCTTGAAGCCGCTCTCCGGAGGCTCCGGCTGGGAGGGCTCCGCGCCCACAAACACACCAAAAAAGACACGCACACGCGCTTTCCCACGTGCCAGGCTCGTATTCCCCGGCCACCACCTCAAAGCGAGAACACGCTGGAATAACTTCGTCAGACCCGCATCAAGACTGGGCATCCCTCATCCCTGCCCCTCTTTCTCCAACCCAAGCGAGGCAGGGCAGATAGGGCTGAGTTGTTGTGAGTTTTCCGGGCTGTCTGGTCATGTTCCAGAAGCATTCTCTCCTGACGTTTCGCCTGCATCTATGGCAGGCATCCTCAGAGGTTGTGAGGTCTTAGCTTCTCAGCGTGGAGGGAGGGACGCACAGGGCGCATCTACAAGTCTGGAGGAGGAATGGCAGGGCAGAGAGTCCAGGCGATGGAAGCGATGCCAAGCGATACAGATCAGGCATGGGGAAAGTTGGGCCACCCCTCTAGGTGTTTTGGACTCCAACTTCCACCATTCCCAACAATCTCAGACCCTTTCCTTTCCCCCCTCAGCCGCTTAAGCGAGGAGAAGAAGTAGAGGAGACGCTTAAGCGGCTGAGGGGGAAAAGGAAGGGGTCTCAGGTGAAAGTTGGAGTTCAAAACACCTAGAGAGATGGCCCAACTTTCCCCATGCCTGTGTAGATGCATACATTGACACAAACACACACGCGACGACTTAGAACCGCTCTTTGTTTCTCGACAGGGAAAACACAGGCCAAGCAGTTAAGAAAAGTTCCTTCTCTGGGCTGTTGAGAGTTTTCCGGGTTGTATGGCCATGTTCCAGAAGCATTCTCTCCTGACGTTTCGCCTCCATTTATGGCAGGCATCCTCAGAGGCTGTGAGGACCCCATAGATGGAGGTGAAACGTCAGGAGAGAGTGCTTCTGGAACATGGCCATAGCCCGAGGCCAATACATCAGACAAGAGTTCTTTCTCCCACCCTGGACCAATTGCAACATCCCATCCAATACCTCAAACCAGACAAGAGTTCTTTCTCCCACCCTGGACATTCCACAGATATATAATCCACACTTGCTTAGTTTCCAACAGACTTCACAGCCTCTGAGGATGCCTGCCATAGATGCAGTCAAAACATCAGGAGAGAATGCTTCTGGAACATGGACCATACAGCCGGAAAACTCACAGCAACCTAGATTCCCGCAAGCCCCCCCCCCCCCCCCCCGCCCTTTGACATACTAGAAATCCATTTTAAAAAGCGGGAGACGATTAACTTACTGTTTGGTGGAGGCAATAAACAAAGCAGATCCATTTAAATCTAGCTCCCTGCCTGACCTCGCCGTCGTCGGCCCTATTAAGAATGCAATCAAGATAATCAGGCGCATGGTTTATTCATGGCGGACCCGGAGGATTGCGTTACAAGCCGTCACTTTGGCCGGGCGCACGCAGCGGGCACAACGGGGCCCCGTCCCTCCCTGGATCTCTCTCTCTCCCCCCCCCCCCCCCCCTCTCCTCTCCTCTCCTCTCGCCTCCAGAGGAGAAAAAGACCCGGAGCAGGGAAGCAGCAAGCGAGGACTCACCTTGCGCTCTCTGGCTCGCCTCCTTGGCTTTCCTTAAAGCGCCCACTCGCCCAAAGTTACCATCCGCGCGCGGGACGCATGGAGGGCCGCTTCCTCCCCGGCCTCGTCGCTGCCTTGGAGATGGAGAAGTCCACGCATTCAAACAAGCGCCACCACTCCCCCAAATATTGATCTTTTCTCTCTTTCTTTCTCTTTCTCTCTTTGTGAGTCCGATGCCTCTTTCCAGTCTCTGCCCACCTCTCTCTCTCTCTCTTTTTGGGAGTGGGTGGGTTTGTTTTCCAAATGGTTAAATTATTGATAGTGGAAATTGCGTGGCCAAGGGAATCATGGCATCCTCTGATTGAGTTCGCTCCATCTGATCTTGGTCGGGACGGAGAGATTGCATGCTGCTGGGCGGGAGGAGGAGGAGGAGGAGGAGGAGCAGGAGGGAGAGAGGAGCAGCACCCAGCGCGCTCCTTCTCTCTCTCTCTCTCTCTCTCGCTTTCTCTCTTTCTCCGCGAAGGGGAATCCACGCGCGGGTGCTGGGCCCGCCCTTCTTTGACGTGGGATGTCATATGACACCCTCCGCCCCACTGACTGCCTCGGGGAGAAAGAGAGAGAGAGAGAGAGAGAGAGAGAGAGAGAGAGAGGAGCAAAAAAAGAGGCACTCCGCAGCAGGGATTACACAGGACCGCAATCCCGTCGACACACACCAACGCCTCCTCCTTTCCTATCCCAAAATGAGCCTTGGGTTGCCACCCCTCGCACGTGCTTGCCCCCCCCCCCCCGCCTTCACATGAAGCAAAGGGAGGCATCCCCACCTCGCCAAAGGGCACCCCCGGCTGGGAAAGGCTTCCCTGGCTCAGCCTGGACTCTCCCTCCTCTTTCTCCCACTCACTCTCTAGCTCTCTCTCTCTCTCTCTCGGGAAAAGGGATCCAGTGAGCCCGGATTTAGGAAAAGAGTTGTTTGTTGTTTATTCGTTCAGTCTCTTCCGACTCTTTGTTACCTCATGGACCAGCCCACGCCAGAGCTCCCTGACGGCCGTCACTACCCCCGGCTCCTTCAAGGTCAAGCCAGTTACTTCAAGGAACAGAATTCCCTCTCCAAAACATTGGGAAGAACTCCCTGGCTGTCAGAACTCTTCAACATTGCACAGCCTGGGAGTGTGTCTCCTTCTCTGGAGGGTTTTCAGCAGAGGCTGGAAGGCCATCTGTCCGAAGGGCTTTGATTAAGTGTTCCTCCATGACGGGATGGCCTTGAAGGGACCTCCTAGCTCTATGGCTTTCTGAGCTTAGCATCACAGGGCTCGTCTACACCAATGGTTCTCAACCTTTCTAATGCCGTGACCCCTTAATACACTTCAGTTGTGGTGGCCCCCAACCATAAAATTATTTCTGTTGCTACTTCATAACTGTCATTTTGCTACTGTTATGAATCGTCATGTAAATATCTGATACACAGGATGTATTTTCATTCACTGGACCAAATTTGGCACACCCAATACACCCAAATCTGAATCCTGTCTTTTCTGATTTTGTCATTTGGGAGTTGTAGTTGCTGGGATTTATAGTTCACCTACAATGAAAGAGCATTCTGAACTCCACCAACGATGAATTGAACCAAACTTGGCACACAGAACTCCCATGACCAACAGAAAATACTGGAAGTGTTTGGTGGGCATTGACCTTGATTTTTGGAGTTGTAGTTCACCTACATCCAGAGAGCACTGTGGACTAAAACAATGATGGATCTGGACTAAACTTGGCACAAATACTCAATATACCCAAATGTGAACACTGGTGAATTTTGGGGAAAATAGAGTTGACATTTGGGAGTTGTAGTTGCTGGGATGTATAGTTCACCTACAATCAAAGAGCATTCTGAACTCCACCAACGATGAACTGAACCAAACTTGGCACACAGAACTCCCATGCCCAACAGAAAATACTGGAAGTGTTTGCCCAAATGTGAACACTGGTGGAATTTGGGAAAAATAAGAGTTGACATTTGAGAGTTGTAGTTGCTGGGATATATAGTTCATCTACAATCAAAGAGCTTTCGGAACTTCATCAACGATAGAATTGGGCCAAACTTCCCACACAGAACCCCCATGACCAATAGAAAATAATGTGTTTTCTGATGGGTTTTGGCAATCCCCCTGATATCCCCTTGCGAAGGCTCCAGGTGCCCCAACCTCCATATTGAGAAACTCTGCTCTTGCAGGAAAAGGGATACAGTGAGTCTGGTTTTAGTGGATTCAAATTCTAGGGAAAGAGATCATCTCCAAAACATTTGGGAAGAACATGTCTGTAAGAGCTCTTCAACATCAGGGTGGACTGCCTGCAGTGCCTGGGTGTGTATCTCCTTCTCTGGAGGTTTTTAAGCACAGGCTGGAAGGCCATCTCTTCCAAGTGCTTTGACTGGGTCTTCCTCCATGACAGGGGATGGGATTGAAGGGGACTTCTAGCTCTATGGCTTTCTAAGCTTGGCATCACAGGGCTTATACACATTAAATGCAGCTTGAATATCAAGCAAAGTGACTCCCTCCTGGGCACACAGAAGACTGGGCAACTTGGAAAGCGCTGAACAGACTGCACTCTGGCACCACGAGATGCAGAGCCAACCTTAAGAAATGGGGCCACAAAGTGGAGTCCACAAAATGCGAGTGTGGAGAAGAGCAAACCACAGACCACCTATGCAACCTGAGCCCTGCCTTATGCACAATGAAGGACCTTCTCACAGCAACACTAGAGGCACTCCAAGTGACCAGCTTCTGGTCAAAGGACATTTAACATAATGCCAAGTTTTTAAACTTTGTTTGTGTTTTCAAATACATGTTAACTGTACCCTCAACCCACTTCTGACACAATAAATACATTTATCTGGTTGGAGGACACGGGGAATCTAGAAAGGTGACTTTTCTAAGCTCTAACGTGAGCTCTTTTTGCCTGGATATAGTCCAAACTGGATGTGAACCCTTTTGCACACCGAGCTGCTGCTCCATCATGTAAAAGCAGTTGCCTTTAACTGCATATAATAATATGATAAAGTGGATAGGCAATCTTACATTTGTATTCTTTTTCAGAGAAATTGAAAACTTAATTAATTCAAGTTAAGGACCCGCACCCTTTCAGAGTCACATTTAATCTATATATAACAGCTATCCAGGGTTTTCTCATTTTAAAAGATGAGAAAAATCTCTACCACCAACCATAAAAAATACTTTCCTCCACTATCTTTTTAACCATCTGTTTGGTTAATGCGATTTGATCCTAGCCCGATTTTCTAAGAAGAGGTCAAGAAAAATAGAGGGAAAGAGAGGGATTCTCATTTCCCCCCTCCTCATCAGGAAATCTATGTTAATCCTGATGATAGGGATGAGAGTGATGTCAATGAACTCAGAGTTTTGACAAGAATATTTTTTTCTATTAATATTTTTAATTGGCTGAGGTCATGTCTAATATTACAAACAGCATTTTATGTTTATGCATGTCTCCTAGTTACTCACGTTCTACTGTTTCCCCTGCCCTCCAATCCCCTTCCTCTAATTCCTAAAGGAATCAGAAACATCTTGAGATCAACTCTACCAGAACTTGGTAGAAAACCAAAATAAAATAAGACTGGAGATCATTTAAAACAAAATGGAACTCACAGATAAGAGTACCACTCACACTACACAGTTACAACACTATTGTTCCAGGTTGCTGTGAGTTTTCCAGGCTGTATGGGTATGTTCTGAAGCATTCTCTCCTGATGTTTTGCCCACATCTATGGGAGGCGACCTCAGAGGTTGTGAGACCTGTTGAAAACTAGGCAAGTGAGGTTTATATATCTGTGGAATGTCCAGGGTAGGAGAAAGAACTCTTGTCTGCTTGAGGCAAGTGTGAATGTTGCAATTGGCCACCTTGATTAGCACTTAATGGCCTTGTAGCTTCAAAGCCTGGCTGATGGCTGCCTAAGGGATCAGTTATATAAAACTCACTTGCCTAGTTTCCAACAGGCCTCACAACCTTTGAGAATGCCTGCCACAAATGTGGGTGAAATATCAGGAGAGAATGCTTCTGGAACATGGCCATACAGTCTGGAAAACTCAGCAATCCAGTGATTCCAGCCATGAAAGCATTCAACACGTGAAAATGTGGTTGTTCCAGTGTGCCTTTCCAGAATAAGGAAACTCCTAGCATGATGTCCCAACACACTTTATCAGAGATCCAGGATATCTGCATGCCCATCCCCCTCCAAACACCCCACCTTGTCATGCCCAGCACTTTTAATTTTAATTATTACATTTGGCCCGGCCATTGTTTTTAATTGCGTCATTGGGTGTTGTTAATGTTATTGCTTTGTTTTTTGAGTTATTGTGTGGTTGTTGCTGCTGTTGTTTTTATTGTTGTATTTGGGCTCGGCCTCTTGTAAGCCACACCGAGTCCTTCGGGAGATGGTAGCGGGGTACAAATAGAGGTTATTATTATATTATTATTAACAACACTATTATTCCACTTTAACTGCCATTATTCCCTTGTGTGGGACCTTGGGATTTGTAGTTTAGCAGGCACTAGAGTGCTCTGGGTAAGAATTGTGGCGCAGCTGGCTGAGTGTCAGCTGCATTAAGATCACTCTGACCAAAAGGTCATGAGTTCGAAGCCAGCCCGGGCTGGAGTGGGTGTCCAGCCATTGTGTAGCCCGTTGTCGACCTTTGCAACCCGAAAGACAGTTGCATCTGTCAAGTAGGAAAATAAGGTACCACCTTGTGTGGGAGGCTAAATTTAACTAATTTATGAGGCCATAAAGAAAAAAGACTCCGGGGAATGTGGAATGCGGAAGAACTTCATCGGTGTCGTTGATGGACGATGAAAAGCAGCAGCTCCCCTGGCAGCCAGAAAAAAGTTAAATAGCCTCGGTGTATTTGTCTGTTAAATGTTGTTTGTCAAACTGGCATTGAATGTTTGCCATATATGTGTTTACTGTAATCCGCCCTGAGTCCCCTGCGGGGTGAGAAGGGCGGAATATAAGAACTGTAAATAAATAAATAAATGCCCCTCCCTAAACTGCAATCCCCAGTATTCATAGGTTGCTGGTGCTAAATTCCTGGCTCCAACTGACTTTGGGTATATAACATAATCTGTTTTATGTGTGCATGCAGCACCTATCCCAAAGGGCACACTTATGAAATAGTGGATATTAGCAATTTATACTCCATATATTGTTGGATTGCAATCCTTATAATTCTTCACCATTGAGTGCACCATTGACTAAACTGATATGAAGCAGCATCTTACTCTACAGTTATTCCATAACATATGGCAAGATACCGGTATGGTTGCTTCAATCAAATAATAGGTGGATTAGATATGGTAAAGTTTTAGACATGGGTTGGTGGTTTCATTATTGGGAGCATTGGTGGTGGTCTTCACGTGTACTCTGATATTTTTCCAAATTGCAGACACTATCCTGGGTCAACCTACTTTTCTGAAAACATTTCAAGATGT